GCGTGGTGCGGGGCGTTAAAGGGATAGTTTACCCAAAAAAAAATAAATGTCATCATTTACTCAAACCTGAATGATTACTTTCTTTTGTGGATCATAAAAAAAGTATTTTGAAGACTGTTGGTAACAAAGCTGTTTTGGTTACCAATGACTTCCAATGCATGAATGAACATGAACATAAGTATTAAACATGAACGTTTCTCAAATTATCTTCTTTTCCATAGTTTATGTTAGGCCATTGTAGCTTAAATGTTTATGTGTAATACATTTTAATGTTGAATCAAACAAAATATGTCTTTCTAAAGCTACGATTTGTAATGTCTACTTAATACTTTCTCATTTAACACAAAAAATTGCTTTAAATAATCTTTTGGGGGTATTTTCACAGCCAAATGTAATTTACGATTAATTAGATTAATTAATCGACACATCATGTAATTAATTAGATTACAAATGTTAATCGACTGACAGCCCTAAAAACAAATAAAAATGTCAGTTCTGTTGGTCAGAAATGTAGAGCAGCAGAGGGTTAAAGCAGGCCTTTGCTAAACGACTTCCTTCCGCGGCAGGATCTTCGGGTTTGTGGCGAGGAAAGCAGGCAGCGGTTTGGAGAACGTGTGTCATGTGTTCGCGGAGCACGACCCCGAGCAGCCCGCCAGCGCCATCGTCAACTTCGTCTCCAAAGTCATGATCGGCTCTCAGAGGACGTGATGAACGAGGAGTCCAGACAAACCCTCTGAAAACCTGCATTCACTGTGTTTATATATTTGTGTATTGACAGTGTAAGTGTGGTTCACACAGACTACACAGAATTATTCTCATTGGAAATAAATCTCAACATACATGTTTATGGACAGTAATGCTTTTTAAAATTATTTCTAGTATCTTATGTGTAATGTATGTCACTACTGATGACATAAAACCAAAAACATCTTTATAATGTCATTGCATTTTAGATATCTATATATTTAGTATTTTTTTTATTTTTTTACATGCAAATTTCTATTAGCCAAGTCGTTTTCTGCAGAAAAAAAAGATACTTCATATATGCATATATATATATAGAAAGGTTATGCATGTGAAATAGTTTGAGATGTCTGTAGTCATGTTTGTCGTCAGAATCAGTGCTCACAAGGTGAATGAATATGACTGCTCTTGAGGCTTCTGTGAATCTGTTCTTCATGTCATGATGCTGTTTTTATATAAAGTCGTATGTTGTACAAGAGTATCTGTATGATAGTGTCCAGAGAATCAGGCTTGGTTTAATGATCTGTGTTGTTCTGTGGACTCTTATAAACTCGTCTGAACAGATCATACATGTGATAATGCATCAGCAGGGAACACAAATGTGCTGATGTTCACACAGATAACTGTTGAGGGCTCTGGTTATTTATACTTGATGTTGTTAAACTCACTGGTGATTTTCAGAAACTGAAATGAACCACTCACTCACACAGTCTCTGAATATCTGAAATATCATGTTTTTGAATGTCTGTTCGTGTACTTCAGCTGCTTCCATCAGTGGCAGAATCTGAGAAATAAAGAGTATACAGACAGAAATGATTAAGATATGTTTTATCAATTTATTTTAAGGCTGCAGATTTGATGAACATTTGTGTTACCTGGGACATCTGTCTGTCATGTAATGCTGCTGGTCATCTTCATTTACACAGATCTGGGTACTTCATTCACACAGTATTGTTGTCTTGTACAGGTCAAAAGTCATTATATCTCTGGGTTTGTTCACCCAGCAATCATTCACTCACCTGGTGTTGTTCAGACTGTGTGATTGGTCTCCACAGAACAGGTTTCTGCTGCTCCGGAGTCCAGTATCTGTCCATCATCCCACGCTTGGCATTGTACTGGTGATGTGAGGCTTCATGAGGATGCTCGGCCATGAAAACCCATTCATGAAGCTGTTATTAATGCTAGTGGAAGTTTGGAGCTCTGCGGCTCTGGAATCTGCAGAGCATTGGTGACTTTTCCTCTCCATGATCCTCAGTCTCGGGGACCCGCTCTGTGCTTTTACAAGATCTTCAGCTTCATGGCTGAGATGCTTCCACTTCTCAATAATACCACTTACAGTTGAGCGTGGCCTACCTTGATATCTAGCTGACTGATTGCATTATCACAGTTTTTTCATCAGTGTTTGTAAATGCAGACTGCATGGCTAGTGCTTGATTTTACACACCTGTGGCGATGGGTCAGATTTAAATACCTGAATGGAGTATTTAAGAGGTGTGTCCCAATGCTTGTGTATTTTCCAAAAGCATTGTTAGCCAACTATGGTCACGAGTTTCACTGTTGTGAACACAGTTCAGCGATTTGACAATTCCTGAAAACACCGTTCCATAAAACATTCGCAAACATTGCATTTCTCAACGGTGGAACAACACAAAGGTGCATCACTGGACACTAACAGCTAACGGTCAGCGAGAAGCTCTTCCCACACACAATTGTAGTTCCTTTGTGAATTTGAACTGTTGGGGTAAAAAGTTAGAAAGATACTCTTAGTATTTATGCAGCAAATATACAAATCCCGTCAATAGCTACGGAGTTGACCGGAGTTTACCTATTAATGCCACAGCACCACAATGAAATACCCAGTTACCAGTAAACCAGTCCTCATCCCCATGTTTCAGTTTGAAAGACCATCTTCTGTGGAGTTACTGGAGGGATGTGAAGCAGCTTGCATTGCGCCCCCTGCTGGACTGGAGGATGAGGGATCACTGGTCTAATAGACAACTGCATTATTCACCTGGATCATTTCTGTAGATCAGTGTGTGAGTCACAGGCAGAATTATTAAAGCACTTCTGCCTACTGGAAAATCTAGCTGTCACCCTTTACTACAGTCAATATTCATTAGGATGGCATATGACCGACCTTCAGCTTTGAAAAAAAAAAGTCAGTTCTTGTTTCAGTGTTGAAACAGCGTTGATACAACGTTTAATGCTGAACGGTTGAAAACGTTAACAGAAAAACTTTGAAATCAACGTTGAAATTTTAACAAGATTTGTATGTTGAATCAATGTCATGAATTCAATGATGAACTCTCTTTAACTGAAAAATGAGTGTTTACTATTGTCATTTTGCATTATTGACACACTATTTTCCTAATTAATGCTGTTCAGTTGCTTTGACACAATCTGTATTGTTAAAAGCGCTATATAAATAAAGGTGACTTGACTCATGTCTTCCCCATATCTTCAACAACTTTCAGACATGGCACCACAGAACACCCCTTCTAAAAACAATAATAATTATTACAATCAATTATAATAATAATAATAATAAGTATAAAATAGATTAAAAAAAAACAATTTTGTGTATGTGTGCTATCTGGAAAGAAAATGCACTAATATATTGTAAGGAATTTTAGGGAAGAAAGAAAATAAAGTATTTCTTACTTGAAGTAAAGTTTCTACATTAAAGTGTTATCAAACCAACGGTAAGGAAATGTGCTTTTAAAGGTGTACTAGATATAGGAAATAATCAATTGGAAGCTGTTAAATGTTAACATAAGACTGGTTTTAGGTTTAGGAGAATATAAGCAGAGATCATATGCCAACAAATACATTGTATGGCTCAAAATTATAAATTTTTCGTTTATGCCAAAAATCATTAGAATATTAACTAAAGATAATGTTCTATGGATATATTTTGTAAATTTCCTACCGTAAATATATCAAAACTTAATTTTTTATTAGTAATATGCATTGCTAAGAACTTCATTTGGACAACTTTAAAGGTGATTTTCTCAATATTTTGATTTTTTTTCACCCTCAGATTCCAGACTTTCAAATAGTTTTATCTCAGCCAAATATTGTCCGATCCTAACAAACCATACATGCGTCACGCTGGATACGCTGTTTCCATTCAGATCAAATCACAACAACGTAGGAAACAGATCCGGCGTGACGCAGCTGACACAGAACACCATACGCTGTTTACAGGGAAAGGAGGAGACGAATTGTTGAATAAAGTCGTTTTTTTTTCTTTTGCGCACAAAAAGTATTCTCGTAGCTTCGTATAATTGTGGATGAACCCCTGATGTCACATGGATTTTATAGATATCCTTGCTACGTCTCTGGACTTGGGAACATTTCAGTTGTGTTGCTGTCTATGCAGGGTCAGACAGCTCTCAGATCCCATCAAAAATATCTCAATTTGTGTTCCGAAGATGAACGAAGGTCTTACGGGTTTGAAACGAGTAATTAATGACAGAATTTTCATTTTTGGGTGAACTAACCCTTTAATTTTACTGTCTTAAAACCTACAGAAACCATTCCAAACATTTTGCATAAAGGAATTGAACTCTTTTTAATACCGTCATATTTTACCTTTGAGGCTTTGTATTTCCTCTTATTTTCAGTGATGCTTTTTTGACTAATAAAAATTTCAAAAACAGTGGATTTTCTTTCGTCTGTGTTTTTACTGAGCACACAAACTACACAAAATACTCTGTGTTCAGGCTTTTACACCTAAACATCACCCAGATAAAATCTGTTAAACCACTTCAGCTAAAAGTGTTTGACCACAGCTTCTCACGAGAGGAACCACATGCAAATCAAGTATTTTATTAAAGATCAGTTTAGCATGATTGTGTGTGTGTGTGTGTGTGTGTGTGTGTGCGCGTTTTTGTGACAAATGAGGACATAAATTTGTATAATGACAAAGGTATGACATAGGTATTACAAGGAGAAGGTGACTTTTCAGGACATTACCCCATGTCCCCACTTTTCAAAACGCTTATAAATCACACAGAATGGAGTGTATTGAAAATCTGAAATAGCACAAAGTTTCCTGTGAGGGGTAGGTTTAGGGGTAGGGCTGGTGTAGGGCAATAGAATATACGGTCTGTACAGTATAAAAACCATTACGCCTATGGGATGTCCCCACTTTTCACAAAAACAAACCTGTGTGTGTGTGTGTATGTGTGTGTGTGTGTGTGTGTGTGTATTAAAAACTAAACATGATTTCACAAATAAAATACACAACACTGAAATTTGATACTTTGTTCTAAAAGTTATTTTGGAATAAATGTAAAAAAGAAAAGAAAAACTAAAATATTAACTTGATATATACTTAGTTTTCATAAATAATTTATTACTTTGAAAATGTAAAAATCCAAATTAGAATTGTTTTGTTTGTTTGTTTTTTAGTTTTTTTAAAAATCGAAGTAATATTTGTTAAATCTGGAAAATGTGTCGTCATTAAAGGGACAGTTCACCCAAAAATGAAAATTTGCTGTTGATTTATTCATCCTCAGATCATCCAAGATGTAGATGGCTTTTTTTCTTCAGTAGAGCAGTACAGAAGATGTTTAGCTGAAACTGTAGTTCTTGGTGATTCATACAATGTAAGTCAGTAGGCGTGTTTCCATTACCCTTCAAATTGCGCAAATTGAAATTGCGAATTGAAAATACGCCTAATGTGTCAATTTCGCAAAAACGCCCATATATCGCAAAAAAGTTTTTATGCTCGCATGAGGTGGTTTTTCAGGCAATGCGAAAAAGGAATAATTCGCAAAACTGCAATGGAAACGTTTTTTTCGCATTTACAGGTCACATGGCGTATGTAAAAATTCATATGATCATTCTTCAATGTAATATAACCTCCAAGAAACACTTAATACGTGGCCGCTCTCCACTATAAGCGGCTTTCACTACCATTAATGCTTAGACAATTTACACTGCACACGTCTGCGGTGCAGTGTGGCTCTGATACAGCCACTCAAGCTGATTACGGCCACTCAATGCTTGTGTTTATTCCAGAATCCAGCCGCGCCACGCACGTTTCTGAAGCGGCTCTCTGTGCTGCTTCTGTAAAGATACACGCATACGCCTCCTTTGAATAAATATAGCCAAAATCCGTCAAAATCCCACCAAAATCCATTGCCATGACTTATCGCGAGTGGCAAAAGGTTACGTTTTAGTCGCATAACATTGGTTAATGGAAATGCCGTCATTTCGCAATACTTTTTTATCGACATTTATAAAGTATCGCCAAAGTTTTGCCCAAATCTGCAATGGAAACACGCCTAGTGGCTACTGGTATTTTGAGAGTTATAAAACATATAGTGGAATGCAAAATTAGTTTCTTGCACAGACCAATCATTTCGCTTCACAAGACCTCAATATATCATCAGGAGCCACAGGGATTCGTTTTGTGCTCCTTGATATGCTTTTTTTATTCTCAAAAATGGGAAGCCGAGGAAAAAGAAGGTCACCTACATCTTGGATGGCCTGAGGGGAACTAAATTTACAGCAAATGTTAATTTTTGGCTGAACTATCTCTTTAAGTCTATCTGGAACGCTAATTTACTGTGGATTAAAATAAAGCATTAAAAACGTAGCTGTGAGGACTTTGCCTCCTGATTTCTGATCATCTCTGGTGTTGTTACAGACGGCTCGTCTCCAGTTATCCATCTGTAGTTCACTGCTGATGTGTGTTGGGTTGTGGTGTATAGCGCAGTTATTTCTTCCCAGACGGCAGGTCTTTGGTATAGATTCCAGCGGGGAAGAGTGTCGCAGCTTCCGTCTCAGGGATTCTGGGAGGCACCATCACACTGTTTCCAGGCTTCAGAGCAGATCCACACACATTACACACAGACAGAAGAATCATCACAGCACTAATCAATCTCCAAACAGACGCTTCTCACCCTCCAGTCCACAGGCGTAGCCACACGGTTGTGCGCCGTTAACTGTAACGAGTCAATGACACGCAGAATCTCATCAAAGTTTCGTCCTGTTGTTGCAGGATAGAGAATGGAGAGCTTTAACTTCTTGTCCGGGCCGATCACAAACACCTGCGTGAAGAATACACACGTTCAGAGCTCATTCAATGCAAGTTTACTGAAATTATGTATTTTTAAAGTGTCAATAATTTAAAACATTAAATCAACTATTCTATTTAAAATAGCGTTTTTACACTTCAGATGAATAATTGAAAAGCTGATAGAAAAACCAGAATCCCAGTAAAAGAGATTCATCTGAAAGGTAAAATTATTCTATGACTTGCATACAGGCATGTAAAAATTTTACATATTTAACTGTCCATATTTTGATTGATGTTTTAACCTTTTTTAAGGTTTTAATAAAGGTGTCTGAAATGTACATCTAATTCATGGAAATATTAAATAATTACAATGTAAAAATAACACTAACAACATGCCACTTAAGGGCTTCTGTGCCAATTCTGGTGGCCCATCTTACACCAAGGGTCTAATTGTATCTTTTTACTTCAAAATACAAACTACAATTTTTATTCCACAAATCTAAAAACATTGATGTGTCCACAGATCCCTCATTAACAAACAGACATTGATATGCAACATATACTGTAATTAGGGCTGTCAATCGATTAATCACATCCTTTTTCTGTGATTAATCGCGATTAATCGCACACTTCATGAAATTAAGCATAGACCATTTATCTTGTTTCAAATGTTTATTTTGTCATCATTTGCTATATTCAGCAAAGTAAACCAAAAGATTAAAGGGTGAATCTCAAACATCTGTATTTTCTGCAAGCTTTTTTCAAGATAAGTTTAGATGTCTTTCCAAAAAAGGACACTGCATAAATACAATGTGCGATCAGTGCGTCAAGAGTGCTCATACACGCATTATTATAACGGACTCACGCGTGCTTACTGTACGACTCCTGTACTCCCCCGCAATCGTCTTTACCTTGATTGCAGTCTTCATCCATCAAAACTTTACTAGCGAGACTGGTTATCCAGTCGCGTCTCATCTGGCCATACAGTTCACACAACGTGTGAGGGCTCGCGCTCTTCAGAGACAATCACAGAATATGACAGAGCCCGTGTTTTAAAGCCAAACACTGGAATCAATAATTCACTTAAAACGCAAGGCGAGTCTCTGTTCTCTCTGCGATCTCTGATGTAATCAGCTTGGTTTCCTTTATATTAGCACTGTTTTGGACAGATTGTTTGAATGCATTTGCTTCCTGGATCATTGGACTGAAAACTTTCCCGGCGTTTAGCAGCTTAAAACGATCTGTTCGCAAGCAGAGAAGCAAAATCGGGTTAAAGGTTTAGAATAGAAATTATGCTTCAGTCATTTTTTGTTAATTGCATTAAATTATTTTAATGCCTTAAGGATTGTAAAATTAATTGCATGCGTTAACGTGTTAACGATGACAGCCCTACATATAATACAATATCACTATTTTTCACAATCTCACAAATGTTGATATTCAGATGAAATAAAAAAATAGCATAAACATTCGTCAAACGTGCTGAGACGAGACTTTGCTGTCTGGGTTATCAAGGTGAGGAAGAAAACCTTCTTATCCTGTCTTACCCTAATTAGTGTGACCTCCTGATCTGGACAAACACGTTCTTTACATGCTCACGTTCACTGACTCCTTGAAAAAGAAAAGCGTAAAACTCGTTCTAGACTAATTTCCAGCCCTATTCTCAACCCATATTAACTGGGATTAAAGATGGCGGCGCGTTCACACGCTGTGGCTTCTCTCTCTCCCATTTTTATTTTTTTTATTTTTTTATTTTTTTTTTACATTTTACCTTATTTGTATAGTTGTATTTTATATTTAATCTGTATATCTGTATTTATGTTCTACTGTTAGTGTTATCTGTATGCACCAAGGGTCTGAGAGTAACGCAATTTCAATTCTCTGTGTGTATGTGCTGTACATGTGGAAGAATTGACAATAAAGCAGACTTGACTTGACTTGATATTCATTAATTCTGTGCTTACGCATCTGGCGCTGAGTGGCATCCCGTTGCGGTCCTTCTCCTCCGGGTCCAGCATGCCCAGCTTCTCCACCAGCTCCCGCCGATCATCCGCTATGATGGGGAAGGGAAACTGGCTCCCAGGCTCTGTGTTATTGTAGGCCATGATGTCCTGAAATCAGCCGTGGAGACTCATTACCAGCTGATCAACAGAAGCACACACTTCAGACGGACAGAGGCAAACCTTGCTCCAGTCGTGATGCTCCTGCAGACTGTCGACGGAGAGCGCCATCAGCTTCACGTTACGCTTGCTGAACTCGGGACTGAGCTGAGCCGCCCTGCCGAGTTCAATGGTGCAGACGGGAGTGAAGTCTCCAGGATGAGAGAACAGGACGCCCCAGCTGATGGAGAAACACTTCATTCATGGAGTCACAATCAGAGACATTTCTGTGCTTTAAATGTTTCAGAATCCTACAACTAGTGGAGTAGTCAAGACCAGTGTTGGGGGCAAGTAACGTGAGTTACGTAACCAGATTACTTTTTTCAAGTAACTAGTAAAGTAATGCATTACTTTTTGATTTCAAAGGAAATATCTGAGTTACTTTTTTTCCATTGTCTGACTGACAGCTCTCCTGTCCCTGCATTGAGAGAAATCCAGAGTAAATGCATGCAAACACAACGTTTATTGTAAATCTAGACTAATGTCATCATGCATTTATTTACTCATTTCACTAACACAGAAACAGATTCCGTATTCCTCAAAATGAAAAAAAACTGTAAAATGCAAACTTAGAATATGACACAAATCTGCAATAATTAAATGTTAACATTAAATACTTTATGTATTTTATTCCTTCAGCTTGAGATGTATTCTATAAAGGGCTTTTACATTTGCCAAAAATAGAACTGTTTTATATTAAAAACAAATAAGCGAGCCCAGCCCAGATGAGAAAAGTAATGCAAAAGTAACATAACACATTCCTTTTCATAACTAAGTAGCGCAATTAGTTAATTATTTTAGGGAGTAAAGCAATATTTTAATGCATTACTTTTAAAAGTAACTTTCCCAACACTGGTCAAGACCACATAAAGACCAGACCAGAGTGTGTCGAGACCAAAGTAGGGCAAGACCGAGTCAAGACCAAGACCAGAGCAGCAAATGGTCGTGAGACAAGTCGTGAGTAACTACAATACCTTTAAGCCCCTGTTTACTTATAAAGAACTGTTAAAGCAATAAGCCCCGTGAAGCCGTGGTTTACAGTGAATTTATAACAGCTAAGGGGCATTGTTAGGTACAATGCGAAGCCCCCCATAGCTGTTATAAATTCACTGTAAACCATGGCTTCATGGGGCTTATTGCTTTTATAAAACGGTTATTCCATATACATAGTAAGGTTTCACAAAATAAAACAGAGCAAATAAAGTGTAAAGATATTAATAAAAACAGTATTCTTCCACCAAACAATGTAGCTCCTCAGAATCAGTTGTGGTTGCTACAAAGAGGTTGCCGAGAAACAGACAAACATAAACAAAGGTGTATGTTACTTTGTAGAGTAATTTACAACAGCTTCGAACGCGGCTCAGCCAATTAGAATCAAGCACCGGAGCTATCCGGTTTATAAAGATTATTATATGTCTGTGTTTTCATTCAGGTCCTTTGGTGCCTGTGACAGATATTTGGAAAATTTGACTCTTAAATTATGAGTAAAGTATCCGCAATGCAGTGGATCAGTCATCCGATCACTGTTGAGTTCAGTGTTTGGACTCCAGAGACGGACATAACCTCTGCAGCTCTACCACTGGATCTACTCACATTACAGCCTTAATATCACTGAATTTCAGTTTTGCAACAGTCAGTCACTGTTTGCAGATACCAGTGAAATCAAGTGCTGTAAGCTGAATCCTACCTGTAGAAAAATTGTCTGTGAATGATCTTATAAAAAGCATGTTTGGGGGGAGGAGACTCTGAAAATAGATCAATCCAAAATGGATGCTTGATGGCAAACAGGTTGAAGAGTAGCTGACAGGCTATTGATTCATTAAATGATAAGCTGTTTTCCCACAAAAGCAGTTTATTCAGTGTAGTGTTGCAGTGTTACACTTTTCTTCTCTAATCTTGGAGGCTCGTCTTAAAGCAGTTATTTTCATTGTAAATCTAGCAAAGTTCTTTATATTTCCTTTTTTTTTCAACTTTAATGTACAGTCTATAAAGTCTATACTTTGTGTTATATTACCTTGGCATTAAATTATAGTAAATTAGTTAATGCTCCTGCATGAGTGTTTCTAAAACTATGGCTGAGGGAGTGACTGCAGATTTGACATCTGTCTTCTGAGCAATGTAATCAATCTCTCCACATTCTTTCCTCTTTTGCAAAGTCACAGAAAAGCTATCAAGTGTATTTATTTATTTATTTGTTTTTGGTATTGGAGGAAATGTGAATGTGAAACTTATATTTGTTGTAGTTTCCATTCATCTCTATAGAGGTTTACGAGCTATGATGACTAACGGACCACAGAAATGAGACGAGGGTCGATCCTTCATTTGCTGAAGACATTTTATCAGTGATTTATGAGTGACTCAATAATTCAATAACTGATCCAAGGTCATTGACTGGTAAAAGATTGTCTGAATGCCAGGCTGAATCAGAGATGAATGTGCAAACAGAAAAACCCCAAATCTTGCTTGTCAGGTTTTACTATCCTTGTGAGGACATTTAGTCCACAGCATAAGGTTTACCTGAACCACACACACACACACATAGTGAAAGTGTGTTTAGCTGACTCTAGTCTTTATGTGTGTCAGACTCTGTCAGCGTTTTCGTGTAGCTGAAGAGGTAAAAGTGGTGCCTGACCTACAAACACAACCACGATTTAGACAAAGACAGCAGCTTTGGACACGTACTAACTTTCCATGTTGTCCATTGTGAGGACATTATGAGAGAGACTCGCTTATAGCCAAGCCACACAACTCATATCTTATATCTGAATCATTCATTTCAGTTCATTTCCTTACACTAATAAGAAGTACTGAATAATAATAAGAACACAGAGGAGAAGAGAAATGAGAGAACTATTGTTAGATGTGACTTCAAGTAGTGGACATTGAGAATCAAACTACTGTATCTATGAAGAGCAACACAAATAACACACAACACACTCTCACATCACAAGACACTTACGAATCTCCCAGAAAATCATGCAGTTTCATTTGGCCAAAAGTGGAATCGGCTTCGAAGTTGGGAAAGACGTCTCCTAACAGCATCCTGCAGCATCTGTCTGTCTCTGTGTCTCGGTGTTGCATGCTGGGAAGTGTGGTTTGGTGTGTGGGAGGGTGTGAGAGAGCAGGCGTTTTCTTTTACTGCAGGTTTACTGCAGTTTTCCCCCTCACTCAGTTACTTTAGTGATTATTTCACTGGTTTCAGATTTTTGCCATGCCTTTTTAAATGCCACACTCATTTACTGATGACATAATGATCATGTGTGAAAACATTTAGACATAATTTGTCCACTTAGAAAAAACTCAATGTATTGAGGAAGAAACTAATTATTTTTCCACCTTGTGTTTCTTTTTGAAGTGTATACCTAATTTGAACACTTAGAAATCAAAGCTCTGTGTCGTGAGAAACAAATAATTTTTTCACCCCTGCATTTTTGTTTACAGTATTTTGTAAATATATGAATACGCATACAAGTCAATCACCTTTATTTCTATAATTCTTTATACAATACAGACGGTTTCAAAACGGTAATAACAAATTCAGATTCAGTTGTAAAGCAGCTCTAACAAGCCAATAGTGTCATTATAGAGTTCAATGTTGATTCAGTCCAGTTCTATAACTGCAAAGTTTATCATTTGTGCATACATATTGTATGTACAGTGTATTTTTGCACATACATGTACATGTGAGTGTTATGACAAACTCCTGCACACTGAACAAGCACAAGACACAAGATTTGAAAGATTTTGTTTGACTTTTGTCCCATCTGTGTAGTTTGGCGTGTATATGGCCAATCATTTGTGTGAGTTAATATGCAAAAACACTATTTTTATAAGAATTAAAATAGTTTTGAAATAAGTGTTTGCTTTTGCAAGAGATGTGTAATGTTTTGCGCAAGAGATTCATAACATCTCACTGTTACAGATTTATCACGCAGCTCAAAGCAGTATGGGTAGAATCTCTCGTCAGTCTATTCTGATTCATCAACACAGTTTGAGCTCCTCTTTGCAGAAATCCTCCAGTTTGTCTCTCAGCTGATGAACAGATTCTCTCAGAGCATCAGAAGAGACGAGAGAACTGAAGAGATCATCATTTACGTCTGTAGATTCAGGAGGTGCTGAGAGAGACTGGAAACTCTACAGAAAACAGAAATCAAACTCATCAGCTCCACACTTCACTCAATAACCTGCAGCAACATCAGATGTGACTTCACTGATCTTTAGTAACTCAATCCAGCACTTTCACAGCATCAGCTTCATTCTTCTCATATTCATTATATCACATTAGAGCTACAGATTCTAGTATTTGACACTTACACTCTATGTGAACTTTCTAGGAAACCGTTTGGATGATAAAACATCTGCTAAGATCATAAATGTCCATCTAACAGCTCAAGCACATCAATGGAGTCTCATTGTAGAGTTGAGTAGATTTGCTCAGGAAAAGCAGCTCAAAGATGATTAGATTGAGCATTATTGATAACTTATATGATATACTGAAACTTCACAAGGACTCTAAAGACACACTCAAGTTTACTTTGGCTTCGATACACTGAAGCACTGCTCAGTCGCCAGGATTTCACAATTCTGCAAATGCAGAATTTAATGCAAAATCAAGCAAACATTATTTGCAGGAGCTTGTATTTGTCTTATTTATGCAATTTTTCCACAACAAATGTTAACCTGAGAGGGAAAGCAATATTAGCGACTAAAATTCCATAACTGAGAGTCCAAACAAATGAATGAATGCGTGTTGAATTACAGTGAACCGTGCTGTAAAGTGAGCAGGGATGATGATACAGGTTATGCAGGTGATTTACAGGGAGAGAAAATATGGACAGGATAATAATATTTAATATTTCCAAGTAATCTCTCCCAATCATTTATTCACGAGCTACACGTCTATTGTCTTTTCAACCTGTTTGTGAAACGAGCGAGAGAGACGCGGTTGTGCAAGCGATCAAACATCTTGTTTATATTTAATGAATGTTTCTAGACTACAGCTTTAATGAAGACTATTATTAAACTACTATATGGAATACTGAATATAAATAGAAATGTATTTGTCACGAATCCGGTCCATGAACTTCCATCCGCTTGCCACCAGAGGTCGCCCTCCCATGATATGGACTCTCACACCACACAGACTGTTACACATCACCCTGGACTACATTTCCCATAGTCCATTGCACTAATCGCAAGCTCACCTGAAACTAATCACACACAGCTGCTACCAATAACACACACTATATAAATCAGTCTCACACTACCATTCAACGCAGAGTATTGTTTGCGTTTATCGCTCTCCTAGTGGTAACACATTACGGAGCCAGTTTCCTGCTCTAGTTTCTAGTCCTTAGTTCCTAGTCATAGTCTTGTCTTGCCTGCTTTCCCGTGTTACCTGATTTTTGCCCGTTTATCTTGGATTAACCCTTTGCCTGCTGTTTCGGACTGTGTTTGCACATCGCCTAGACTACTGCTCGTGTTATTGGATTTCTCTCGCCAAGCCCTCTGGATAGCGTTCGCTGTCGACTGACTCACACCCGGTTTGGATTACTCTTTTGTCTTGCCCTCAATATACCTGTTTGCCATTGTCAGAACCTTGCCTGTTTTTATGACCACGCCTTTAAATAAAAGCTTTGCAGATGGATCCGCACGTCTCACGTCTCGTTCGCCCCGTAACAGAATACTCGGCCTCACAAGGATCCAGTAGCTTTTCATGTGGACATTGGCCAAGTATGAACACTGCAAAACTTTTATTAGCCTTAAAGCAGGGCACACGCCCGCTTCAAGAGTATCTGGACATTGCGTGTTATTCTGATCTGCCAGATTGTGTACTGATAGACTTTTTTTGTGATGGAGTAAATGAACCTTTAAAGTCACGATTAACCCGTGAGGGTCCCCGTTCTTCTCTAAGCTATTTTTTTTAATTTTGTTCTGCTGTGTGTCGACTCCCTGTTCACTGTGGGTGTTGCGGAGAAACATGACACAGAGTCCGATCTTCAGATCTTCATGAGTCTAGTCAAGTCTCAGCTGATCTGCCAGAGCTCGTCAAGTCACAGCTGATTTGCCAGAGCCTCGTCACGTCTAAGCTGATCTGCCAGAGTCACGTCACATCTCAGCTATTCGTCCAGAGTTTCACTGTGGGTGTTGCGGAGAAACATGACACAGAGTCCGATCTTCAGATCTTCATGAGTCTAGTCAAGTCTCAGCTGATCTGCCAGAGCTCGTCAAGTCACAGCTGATTTGCCAGAGCCTCGTCACGTCTAAGCTGATCTGCCAGAGTCACGTCACATCTCAGCTATTCGTCCAGAGTCACGTCACAGCTGATCATCCAGAGTCACGTCACATCACAGCTGATATTCCAGAGTCATGTAACTTCACAGCTGATGTTCCAGAGTCTTGTCACGTCCTGTCTGTTGCACCCAGATTATCAAGGTCAGCCCTTCGGTATCCCAGTCTGGTATCCAGTTTGAGGGATGCACCGCTGGTGTCTGTACGCGCAGCTGGTATCCCCAAACCCACGCACTCTAGCCCTCCTGTTCTGGAACTGATTTCCCAGTCTGAAGCGCTTCCTATGATGGGGATCGCTTTTTGGTGTGTTTGGGCTGCATACACCACCACAGAACCTCCTGAGGTGGCGGCGTCCACTATGGTGTCTGCAGAGGTGGCGGCTGAGGCTGCAGAACCTCCCGAGGCAGCAGCGCTCGCTTCAGCTCCTTGTATGGTGGTGGCGCCCAGCAATACACTTTCAGCCTGTCATGTCACAGTCGAAGGAACCATTGCTGAACTTTGTATCTGTCCTGTTAAGAAGAACACTAATGAACTTTCCCTGTTTCCAGATGGTACGGCTGTAGAACCTCCAGAGGTGGCGGCATCTGCTGCAGAACGTCCAGAGGTGTCAGTGGTATCCACTTGTGAACTCTCGTTCTGTTCCGGCTAAGGAGGCCGCCTGTGATCCCTCTGCCTGTCCTGTCATGGCTATGGAGGCCGTCTATGAACTCTCTGCCTGTCCTGATATGGCTATGGAGGCCGTCTATGAACTCTCTGCCTGTCCTGTCATGGCTATGAAGGCCGTCTGTGAACTCCCTGTTTGTCATGTCACAGCTCTTCCTGTTCTGTCACGGCTATGGAGGCCATCTGTGAACTCACTTCCTGTCCTGTAATGGCTATGGAGGCCGTTAGTGAATCCCCTGCCTGTCCTGTCATGGCTAGGGAGGCCGCTTATGAACTTTTCTCCTGTCCCGATTCAGCCGAGGAGGCTACCTATGAACCCTCAGTCTTGTCTGTTACAACCAAGGACGCTGTCTGCGAACTTCATGACTGTCCTGTTGCAAATGAACTTGCTATATGCCCAGGTAATCCCGTCACGGCCATGGGGGCCATGAATGAACCTTTTGTTTGCTCCGTTAGCCTTATCACTACCCCAGAGACTTTAAATGTATATCTTGTATGCCCTAGTAGCCTTGTCACAGCCAAAAAGGTCACCTGTGAACTCTTA